TTACCGACGAAATTTTCGACCATAACTCAAATTACTTTATCAATTGTTTTTATATTGGATTAGTTTTTTTTTATAAAATTTTTTATTAATGAAAAAATTCGTCAGTAATCCATTAGTAAAAATTTTACTTACGGATTATCGATAGATTTTTTTCATCGGTAAATTTTGCCTCAATTTTTTTACTTCCTGCTCCAACATCACTCAAGAAATATTGATAGATTTTTTTTATTGGTAAATTTTATCTATATTCTTTCGATAAATCCATAATAATTTTTTATGATATGTTGATAAATCATCGACAATCTGTAGGTAAACAATTGTCAATCTTTCAGATAATTATCAACGAAAAATTTTCATTGATAAAAATCTTTCAATATTAAATAGGTAATGTCTCATTTCTCTCAAGTAAAAGCCTAGTTTCTTTGGGTTTTTTGTTGCAAAAAACCTTGATGAAAACAAAGTATTTTCATCTCTCGTCAAAGAGTGTTTAATGGTTTGGTTTCTCTAATGCAAAGAAAACCAAACATAAACTCCATTCCATTATATCTCAAAAGTTATTCGATTCAATTTCTTTTACATACCGTAATTGATAAAAAGAAAATAAATCTTAAAAAAAGTGACATTTATAGCATGCCTTAAAATCATTTTTGTTAATTATTAAAGGTTCTATTTCTTCTGTTCAACTTGAAAAAGAAACTACTACAAAAAGATCACAAGTTCTACAAGTATATATACTGATAAGTGTAATCTGCAGGTGCACAAAATCTTAACAAATAATATAATAGTGAGTTGAGATTGTTCTTACGAGGATTGAAAATATAAAAGAGAATTAATTATTGAAATTATGCATGCTTAATTACATTCAAAAAAATCAAATAAGAAGTAATTAACTAATTAAACTACTTAACTAACTAAAACAGATACTTAACTAATGCAATAAACTTGAAAATTAACTTAAATATGCAAAAACAGCAATTAAAACTCAACCTATAACTAAAGCAATGTAAATAGCAAGTTAAATTTAAAACAAACAATAAACCAAATAAGCAATAATATAAATGACAAATCTAAATATGTAAACTATATGCTTTAATTAAATTGAAGACTGAAATTTAAACCAATGCAGCAACCCAAAACTCAATTTAATATGCAAAGATAAAGAATTAATCAAAAAATATAACTTACTAATCTAAATTAAAGTGAAACCGAATGCAACTTAAACTGAATAAACTTAAAAACATACAAATTAACTTAATTAACATACAATAATGTAAATAACTCAAATTAAACTTATATCGCAAAAAAAATAAAACTGAATTAAACCAGTTAAACCCTAGAAACATGCAAGAACTAATCACTTTAATCTAACAAACTTATCTTAACTTATTAAACTGAATTTAAACTCAATTGAACAAAACGGAAGCTAAATCCCAATCGCATGCAAACTAAACAAATTAAAATGAATTGAACCTAAGAATAGCAACTTAAAACCGAATTGAAGTAAACTCAATAACATATAAACAAAATTAAAATTAACCAATTTAAACTTAAAAACAGCAAAGTGAAAACAGCACGTAAAGAACATGAATTGAAGTAAGTTTAAGCAAATCACTGTTTAAGATAAATAAGAGCAAAATAGAAATTAAATAAATAAAGCTTTTGAACTTAATTAAAACCAAAACAAATTTGAATTTAATTTGAAAACAACTTATAAAGTAAAGAAAGTGTAAGAACTTAAAAACTTAAGAAAAAAAAAAAACATAAAGAAAGCTTATGATACAATAGTTGCTCTATCACCCCCAACCATATCTCTCTCATAACCGAATGCTAGCTATTTATAAGAAAAGATTACAAAGAAATCCTAGACTATGGCCAGCTACTTAAAACTTGAACTCTTAAAGTTTTTCGGTTCGGTCTTGCTTGGTTTCTTGAATAAGAAAGCCTTCTTGAATTGAATTTTTAATGTGATAAAGCTAACTTTCTTTAAATGAATGAATGTAGACCGAATCTTAGCTAGATTGTTTAAAAGAGTTGCTGACTAGCTTATCTTGAATGCTTTTTAAAACAATGGAAGAAAGAGGTTTAGTTAAGCAGCTTAAAACTACACAAATTTTAGCTACTTAACTCTTCTTAATGAGTTAAAACTCTAAAGATTGAAAGATAAGGTGCGGCCAGCTTCTTTCTTCTAGAATCTGAAATTTGAGCCTTTCTTGAAGTTTTGTTGAAGAATTAAATCTCTAAAACCTTAAAGAATAGGTGCGGTTAGGCTTGTTGAGAATCAGAATATTAAGCCTTTTAGAAAGGTGATCTTAATGTGTTCTTATAACTGGATAGAAGTCGAATCTTCTTGAAGACTTCTTAAAGAATACAAACTCTTGAAAAATTTTGACTTTTATTCTTAGACCCCTTTTTATATATCTTTTTTATGTAAATCTTACCTTAGATAGAAATTCCAAAGTAGGAATTCCCATTGACTGGGAAAACCTTTAAAAGCTATTTAAACTTTTCCCACGTGTGACAAATTCTTAATTCTTAATCCTTTGTCAAGTGATCATGCCAATTAGCCATCCAAGTCATCTTTCTTGGCCAATCAGAGAAGACTTGCTGCCACACCATCATTCCATGATTTTATGCATGTGGGCCTCAATAGAATAACATGATTTTGCATTCAACTTAGAAAATTCCAAAGCTGTCCTTAGGATAGCTGAATTAAATCTTCTTCATTCTTGCATGATTTTCGAGATTCAATGCACTTCGAGTAGGATTTGTAGAGTCAATCTTTACCAATTTTCATACTTCCACTTCAAGATTTAAGATTTCCAAGATTCCTCAATAGCTTGATCAACACTTGACCAAGATTTCAAAAAATCATTAAGAACATATCAAAATTTCCAAGATTTTGTCAAGAATTCATCTAGATTCACTCTTTTCTCCAAGTTGCCCACACATTATCAAATTAAGCACAAAAAGGATAAAAAGCATTTTATTTTTCCAAAACAAAGCAAAAGTAATTCATTTAAGCATTAAAAATAAATTTAAATATTTCTATTTTACACAATTATCAATACATTGTTCTTGTATTCTTAAGCCTTGTATTTTCCAACAATAAATATCTTAATCATTTCAAGTTCAAGTTATTTCAAATCCAAGTGATTAGTTTGGATTCAAGTCTTTCCAGATCGATACTAAAGTTATTTGGGTTTAGATCATTTTAAGTTTAAATTGTTGAATTTTAAAATCAAATTAATTTAATTTCATGTAGTTTCAAATCATTCAAATCTTTTGGATTTTGGTCATTTTGAATTTAAATTAATTCATGTTTGGATCGTTTTAAGTTCATGTTGGACAAATTCAAGTAATTGACTTGTATTGATCAAATCATATTAGATTGAATTCGAATTTAAGTTTATTGGACAAATGTTTCAAGTTTAGATTAGTTTTTCGATTCTCTAATATAATTGTAAATTGTTTTTTTTTTATTATGTAAATCCTATTGTCTTTTACAAATTTCAAATATGAAAGTTAAAAGTTGAAATATCAAATCTTAATCATTGAAATGCTCTTTTAAGGTTATTCTTTTATATATATATATATATATATATATATTTATATTAGATAGCTAGAGAGCCTTGATAATTCTTTCTCCCTCTATTCCATTTTCTTTGTCTTTTTTTTTTTCTTTGAGATATCCCAATATTATATCTTAGTTTATTTTTTAAACATCTAAAACTTTTACTTTTTATATTTTAAAATTATTTTATATATATTTACTTTTTGGCATTAAAATTTATGAAATTTTAATTGTATAAAAAATTTTAAAATTTCAATATTAAATATATTAAAATCAAAAATTTTTTCTTAAACTCCATGAAAGTTAATACATGATAAATATTTTGGAACAAAGGGAGTACTATAAATTTGCTATAAATTTGCTTTTTTTTATGGAAACTATAAATTAACATTTTAGTTATGAAGAAAAATTCATGGTTTTCTTAAGTGTGGTGGTGTTTTACACTTTTGCTCAAAGTGATATATTAGCTAAGCTTGACATCAATCAAATCACATGCTGATGAAAATCCACGTTATAATTCTAATAATGAACAAGAACAATTGTGAAATTTAATTTGCTTTTCTTTGACTTGACTAACAACATGTTTGGTTGTCTACAATTTTATTTTACTAGTTTATAATTTTTATTTACATTCCAATTAATTTATCTAGTTGGTCCTTTTATTCATACAATGTATTTGTACATAAATCTAAATTTAATTTAGTACTGCTTATTCATCCAACGAAGAGTTAAGGTTTAAATTTTAAAATATAATATTATTGAATTCACTCAATTGTAAGAAAAAATACAATGCATTTGATCACAAAAAAAACTTAATTTTATCATATGAGTATGTTTTAAATAATATTTTCAATTTTTAATCCACCAATATGCTTATAAACAAATCATAAAAAAAAAAGCTTATAAAAAAATAATTAGAATAGAAAGTGCATTGTAGTGAAAAAAATTTCCATCACATTGTAGATTTATGTTAAGATTCAATTTAAAACAATATGATGGTATGATAAAAAAATTTTCACTTATCATTCAAATGAAATCTCAAACAGCATTAGACAAATTCAAAATTTTCTCAACAAATTTTTATATATAAAAAAGTTTTAAAAAGTGAAAATTAGAACTTTAATTTTTACATTGAAAAATGATAAATATAATAAATAGCCATTTATGTCTAATATGAATTGTTAAATTATCACACTCAAATCCATCAATTTGTAGTGATAACATCATAACACCAACTACCATTTGTATCCTAGATATGCATTAATTTTAAAGCAACAAAGATTTCACAATCAAAAGGGGTGGAAGCATAACAATTTTGAGAGTGACAGCAGCACTATCATCTATAAACTGAAAAAAAAAAAAAAAAGAATAGAAAATGGAGGCTATAAATAATGAGCAATGACCAGTTGGATCTTCTTCAGCGGTTCTTTAGCAAACAAAGGTACACATTGGTAATATCTTTCTTTCTCTTTCTTCTGCTGTCTTTAAAAAGACCACCTGGGTTTTTTTAGGAGGGAAAAGAACCTGTCATTAACCCACTTAACACACTAAAACAAAGTTTCTTACCAGGAAAAAAGGAGAAACAAAAGAAGAAAATTAAAACAGAAGAAAAGAAAAATGTTTGCAGGAGATCAAAAAGGTTTACAAGATGACCCAAGGTTGAAGGCCATTTCTGAAGCCATTAGAGTTGTTCCTCACTTCCCAAAACCAGGTTTCTTTCCCAGCTTTTCAGGAAAACTCATATTTAATTTTGTTTCTTTTTTTTGTTGTTGTTTATTGTAAGCAAAATTCTGAAGCAGGTATTTTTGTAGTAAAATGGTTGTAATTTTTTCTTGGGTTTTATGTTTTGTGTTCAGGGATCATGTTCCAGGACATAACAACACTGTTGCTTAATCACAAGGCTTTCAAAGATACTGTGGATATCTTTGTTGATCGTTATAGAGAAATGGGCATTTCTGTTGTTGCTGGTATGTCCTCTCTCTTTTCCTTCTTTCTTTCTTTTTTTTTAATATTTCTTTCTCACACATGCAAGCACACCTTTTTTTAGTTATATGGTAGTATAATTTTGAGTGCTTTTGGTATGCCTTTTTCACAGGTCTGTATTAATTGTAGAGAAAATTTTAAGTCGAGTTGGGGTTTTTAATTCATTTTTATCATGCAAAAGTCAAAATGTAGTATTAGTTTTGAATAAGTTGTTATGGTGAGATTGTTTTCTTTCTGTTTAACATTTAAAAGTATATATAAGTGGATAGGATTGATTTTTTTAAAATTTTATTGTTTTTTCTTTGTTTATTATTAGAGCTATATGACCTATTGTGATTTCATTGCTTGCTTCATTTTACCTACCAAATACTGGGATGACTTCTTTTTTAGAAGAAATGTTTTCCTTTTTTGAAAGTTACGTCAATCTCAGTAAAAGGGGTTCTCTTTCTTCATTTTGTTTTAAATCAACTCAAATTTGTGGCTCCTGAAGTCATGGTAGCCGTAATTAGTTCAGATTTGTAACTGTTTATTAAGCTCTGGATATTATTTCAGGCATTAAATCCATATGATATTTGCTTGACTGGAAATGATTTTTTAATACGTCTGAGATAATGAGCTGATCAGTTGAGTCAGTGTTTAAATAAAATGACCAGTCAGCAAGAAATTCAGCTTTTTATTTATTAGCAATTATAATTATATTCCATGTATAGAAAGCTCTAATTTCTTTCACTCTCACTTGTAAAATTGATTTTAATTGTATATCTGGAAATTACAAGACACTTTTAGTGACCATGGAAAATATATTTGTTTCATACTATTTTTTAACTACTTGAGTACTAATCATTCAAGTATATAGTTTCAAGGATGAATGGGGAATGTTTGTCTTGGTCCCAAAAAAATTGCCTATGATGACATTTTCTAGTGCTGTGAGGGTATAAGTCTTTGTCCCAATGGCATTTGAAGGCAACATATGGTCATGATTGTGGGATGGAATTATCAAGGATAGAGAAGAAAACTCTGGAGCACCTGGGCTCACTTGAGTCTCCAATGTCTTGTTTGATTGGCAAGTCAGTTCATCTAACTTATAAAATTGACTTAATTCCTTTTTCTTTGTTCAACCAATCATCTATAATGTGTTAGAGCTCTAATTGTTTGTGCTGTTTTTTGGGTTTGGTTAGAAGCTAATGTATCCTAACTATTGAAGTTGGTTCTATTATAGCTTAGCTTTGATAGTTGCTCACGTGGTCAATTTACGTTCTAGGTGTTGAAGCTAGAGGATTTATGTTTGGACCGTCGATTGCATTGGCTATTGGTGCCAAGTTTGTTCCTTTACGTAAACCTAGAAAGTTGCCAGGTAAGCTTTTATATGTATAAGCCAAACATCGAATCACATATATAGTTTTGATGAATTTGATATCTAACTTTTCAACTGGATTGACAAATGAGATCAACTTGTTTGAATTTTGACTTAAAGTGAAAAGCTTTGTGCTTTACCAAGATTTAGATGAAAAGGACAATTTTGATATGCTTATCCTGTTGAAAAGGGTCAATATCATTGTTGGCTGCATTAGCCCCTAGGATTTATGCTTTCCCACTGAATTTAATCCATTACTCTACATTTTTCCTTACTTAAATTTATGGAGCTGGGAAACAGAAATTGACTTAAGACTTCAGTCTAGTTGATCACTATAAAGCAATTATAGGAAGCATGGTAGGATGGAAAACATCTTAAGAGGTAAATTACCTACAATTAATCTAACCCATGGCGGCCCCCATGAAGTGTGAACAAGCAGAGTTGGAAGCAGGGGGGAGGATGTCTGTTGTACCATCTTCTTTCATATTAACACAAGTTTCTTATGCCACTTAGATGGAAGCTATGATCACTGCAAAGAGAATACTTAATTACCAAAATAGTAAAATTACAAAAGAGGACTTCAGAACCCTGCCAAGGGAAAAGGGGGAAAGCATAGGAAATTTTGTGTTACGAACATGCTGATGCAGCAGAAAATTCTGAACTTCCAATTCCAAACTCTTCCTAATTTCAAATGGCAAGGAGGGTGTTAGCCAAATGGTGCAATGGCTATATATGCAACCATTTGATTAAAGATTGTGAGAGCATCAGCATTGATGGTGAAAGCGTCACATAATGCAGCCAAGCCATAGATTGTTGACTTATTAAAGATCCATCTAATTTAAATCTCAATTCTCAATGCCATTTCAATAGTTAATTCCTGTGATGAAACCAGGGTAGCCAGGGTTGTGTAAATAGTCTCATCAATCCCATTTTTTTCATCAATATTTGTTACTTGAATTGTAATTTAAGCCCTTCACTGTTTGAACACTAGGAGAAGTGATCTCTGAAGCATATGTACTCGAATATGGCACTGATTGTTTAGAGATACATGTTGGAGCTGTTCAACCTGGGGAACGTGCCTTAATTATTGACGATTTGGTGGCAACAGGTGGGACTCTTTCTGCTGCAATCCGCCTATTAGGTAACATCTGGAGTTCATGCATGTATTTCCCTTTTTCTTTTTGTAATTTTGCATACATTGAGTTTTTGAAAGTTCTATGACTGAAATTCTGTTCGGACTAATGCTTTGCTAGAACGTGTTGGGGCTCAAGTGGTTGAATGTGCATGTGTTGTTGGGTTGCGTGACGTTAAGGTAATGCATGATAGACTTCCTTACATGTTGCATTATTCCTGAAAATGTAATTTATATACTGTTTCAGAAATTAGGCTTCTTTTTTCGACTACTGCCATTGATTCTAGGACTACTAAGTTATTGGACTCATCATTTTGAATTTGCCGCTATGAATTTTGTTTCAGAAAATAACCTACTTTCTTCTCTACTTCTTTGGACTATCTTACCCCTTTGATCATAAAATGATCAAGTTGCTTTCATGGTGACGATTGATGGATGATTAATTTTTTATTTCTTGTCTTGCTATATACTATTTGTGCAAATTTAAGATTTTCTACTATTCTTTGCCGTATGAGTTCCTTCTAATTTAGGTTTCTCATGTTTTTTTAAAAACGGCTAGCATGATCATCAAATTCTAATACAATGCTCTGAAACAGTGAGGTGTTTCGAGTTATCTCTGGTTCAAATTTTAATAGCTCAATCTCTGTCCACCCTAGGCTTTTACTGACCATTCAGTTACCGAACCAGATGTCACAGTTTTTTCTCATTAAAATTTAAATTTAATATCCATATGTTTTGCAGGGACAACATAGACTAAATGGAAAGCCCTTGTATATTCTTGTGGAGCCACGCCAGCAGACAAATTATTCTGCACCTTCTGGTATCATTTCACTGTTATCTCTATGTTGAATGAAGTTATATGTTATTCAATGAGTTCCACTTTCTTGCTTTCTTGTCCTCTCAAAATTATGGCTCAGAAAAGAAGTCGAATATTTCATTCAAATGAACTGCATTATTTTGTCCTTCTATATATTTTCTGTAAAGTAGAGATAATGCTTTAAATGACTTTGCTACAAGAAAAAATGCATTGTATATCTCAAGATATTGCTGTCCCATCAAGAAGAGAATCCTAGCATATCCATGCAACTTGACTTTTCTTTTCTTTCTCATTTCACACTCGTATGCTTATGGCCTCAGGCATTTTAAGTATTTTCTGATACTTTGTTCGTTTCTTTCATTTAAAAAGCTTCCTTAGAATGTTTTTACGCTAAAAAGGGCGTCTAACAAACTTTGAGGGGATGAGAGAGAGAGAGAGAATATAATCATGGATACCGATTAAAAAATGTTTGTTCTTGTGCATCAGTTAGATTTAGGACTACCCTCCAAAAAATAAAAGTTCAATTAGATACTTCTATTTTGGAATGTCGATGGATGACAGCACTAGGCTGATATGTCTAGTAAGTTCTGAAAGGACAATGTAAAGTGACACCCGCACTAAGCATAGGCTGATATCTAGATAAGGTTTGGGTGGCTACTTTCCTGTTTAGAATTTAATGTTGAAAAAGGATTAGCTGAAAGTTGGGATGTTGTCGGATACTAATAACTAATTGAAATCTCCCATAGTTGAATGCAATTCCAGTTGTTAATTTCCTTTAGTTTCTATAATCCACCAATTGTTTCAGGTTTAAGTGGAAAGTGGGGAAATGTTGATGGAACATGCATTGCTAGCCACTTTATTTACCTGTCAATAGGAAAAAGAAAGAATAAGACGTAATGTGAACTATATTGTTTTGATTAATTGGAAGTGGTGGACTTATTGCACATGAAGTCAGTAAATTTGTCTGTGTGGCACAGTTACCATGATAACTAGGTGAGACCAACTTTCATACTGTAGCCAAGACAGTGTAAACCTATGTTGAGGAGGTCAAAACTTCACAAGGTATTTGTTGCCATCTAGGGTACTTGACCTCCTAAACTAGGGTTCAATGCAGATTTTTGCCATGGAATATTGCTTCAAATAATGACACAACAACTCTAAAAACTGCATATGCTTGAATAATCTCAAGCATGCTATATACACTCTGACGCCTTACAGTTGTCAAGTCTCTGCGAACTAGGAACTGATCAGATGCTATTCTGATCTGAATACGAGAAGTAGTGATCATATTTGCCACTCCATATACACATTTTATACTTTAAAATTGCATCCACTGACTTTTAGAATTATGTAAAGCTCCTTCTTCAGCTGCCTGACTAATGAGCTAACTTCCTTCCAGTTAATGGAGTTGAAACATGCAGACACGATGACGTCTACCTTTCCGCGACTTGAATATATCGGTTTTCTCATTCTCAGAGCAAAGCTTGGTTCTACATTCAATCTCATTTCAAAATGAGATTAGTTTTCTGATGCTTTTTGTTTTGAACACTTTGATTGTAAAACTTTTATTTCTTTCTTAGGCTCTTTTACTTTACTTTTCATAGTTTTTGAATGAATTGCCGCATGTCAGTACCTATTAATTGTTTATTCAATTTATATCATGTTTCATCATATGTTAGCTATTTCCAGGTGTTATAACGTCTAGATTGTTTATTCAATCTGATTCTGAATTTCCAGAAAATTTTCAGAAAAATGCAGAAAAATCCCAAAAAAAAAATAATAATTTCCCAATGGAAACACTGACTTCCCATAAATTTTCTACTGCGACCTATAACTCACTCCAAAGTTTTTAATTCTGATTGCCTCTTATTTTTTCATTGCTCTTTCTCTGTGTTCTTACTCTTGTGATTGACGGGGTTTATATAGGGTTGGGTACACAGGTTGAATGGGATTCGAAAATCAAACTTCCCCCTCATCCAATCTGTTTATCCTTGAAAAAACCAAATCCTTAATCCTGTTTTTTAAAAATTAAACTCTTAATCCTAGGGTTTTACTAGAACTGAAATTTTACTTTTATTTACTTATTATTTTTTAAATTATTAAGCTCGTCCGAAAAGTGGGTGTCTACACCAGGAGCTTATCAATTAAAATTGAGAGGCCATTTCTCAACATTTTGGTGGTTTTTGAGCTGAGATAGTGATAGCTTGGGGTTGCCTCTTACTGCTGAACTTATTGTCTAACTACTGATGGAATTTGAGGATGATCTTAGCCCTTCTAACAATGAACAAGTCAAATCCTTCTTTACTATAATAATAAAATAATAATTAATTAATCATAAAACAAATTACAGATTGGGTTTTTTTTTTTTTTTGGGGTAACCTGAAATTTAAATATAAAAAAAGTGTTTACATTTTTTATAATAAGGTCACAGGTAATTTTAGGTTTTGTTTAGATTTAATTTTTTTCCTCCGGACGATTTCAAAGACACTTTTTCACATTGCTTTGGTGTAAGAGGAAAATTTTTAGGGCACATATTTTCACATGGATTTGTTGTATTCAGGATTTTATTTTCAGAGTCTTTCATAAATATTGAACTCAGGTTAACAAAGAAGGAAATTCTTCTCTTGGATTAATCCATGTGAGTTACACTTATTTCTTTTGATTATCGTACTTTTTGCTAATTTTCAAAAATAAAATAGGAGAAAATTAGAATGAAAGTGTAACAATAGTTCTCAATAACAAAATAATGGTAACAATAAAAATTTCTTGGCTATAATAATAATAAAAAAAGAATTTATATTTGATATATTGTTAGTATATAAATTTTATATATTAATATCACATTAATAAAATAAATCAAACTATACCACTTCATTAATAAGTAAATTTTTAAAAAATATATTAATTTTTATATATTTATTTTAAAAATTGATATTTACTTATTAATAAATTGATATCATCTGATTTATTGATAATGTATAGAGTTTATACACAGTATATCAAATATAAACTCATAAAAAAAAATCTTTTTCACACTATTATTTTATTTAGATACATTCATATAATTTTATTATATTCAAATAAGTCATTTATCTTTAATTTCCATCTAAATAAATATTTAATTTTTAATTTATATTGAATAAACTCTTAATTTTTAATTTGTACATAAAAATTAATCTTTTATTTGAAATAATAGTTTATTTGGAAATAAATTAAAAAATAAATATTTATTTGAGAGTAATAAAAAATATTAAAGCTTATTTTAAATCATGGAATATTTTCGAAGTTTTGTAATATTTTAACCAAAATTCTTCATCTATCCTTTTGGTGATAACAATAAAATTTTTTAATAGATCTCACATCTCAAACCACAAGCATAAATTAGCTACAAGAAATTTAGACGGAAGTTACAATTTTTTTATTCAAAAAACATGAGCATTTGACAAAAACAAATGATAAATGAAACTATAAAGTAAGATGATTATATATTGAAACATTAAAAAAGGGATAAAATTAAATCTATAACATTAATCTCGGAAAGGTAACGAGCACAGTGCTCCAATTTAAGGAGTGTCATTTTTTGCTTTTTTTTAAATATTTTTCTAAATTTTTTATATTATTCTTTTTTTCTTTTTATTTATTTATTTATTTATTCTAAATTTTTATATTAATAATTAAATTTTGATAATGTACAGTCTGACATAAGGGTGCCACCTGCAACGTTCTGTCATTCTTTTTTCTTCGCTTTTTAGTTTTTTTTTAGTTAATAATATCCGTAATCTTTAAATTTAAATTTAAATTATATTTTAATCCTAAAATTTTAAAAAATTTTAATTTTATTTTTAAACTCTTAAAGTTATCTTATTTTAATCTTTTCATCTATAATACTATAGCACTATTTGATAATGTCAATTAATATTTCACGTAACAAATAAAGGATAAAAATAAAAATTTTTCAAAGGTAAGCGAAAAAAACAAAACTATTTTAAAAATTTTATAAATTTCATATATACATTTTTGTTGTACTATATTTTATTGGTTATATTTTTGTTTTTAATAAAAAATATTTTTTAAAAAATTAAAATTAAGTTAAAAATTCAAATTCTTTTTTTAAAAATTTAATATCATTTTTTAAAAATTTATTTTCTATTAAAAAATTATTTTTCTCATAAATCATAAAAAATATTATTTTATATCCATAGAATATATATTTTAAAATATTAAATATCTTTTATTTTCCTTTTTCAAATATATTTTATAAAAAATAAATAAAGGAAAATATAAAAATAATTCAAGAAAAAATTAACTTTTATATATTTCAAATATATTTTATAAAATATTATAAATTAAAATATTTTTTAATTTTTATTATGGTATGACTTATCAATAAAATAATATTTTTATAGAAAACAGATTTTTAAAAAATTAAATTAAGTTGAAAATTTTAAAATAATTTGGTTAAAATTATATATCATTTTGAAAAATTAAGTAAAAATTTTTATATCGATTTAAGAAATTAAATAAAAACTCTATATTATATTAAAATATTATGTAAAAATTTTTAGATCATTTTCAAAAACAGATTTATTAATCTATTCAAAAGTATAAATATTTTCTATTCATATGAAATAAAAAATATAAGTTAAAACAATTTTTATTTTTTCTATTTTATAAAACATAGTTTATAAAATATATTTAAAAAGGAAAAATAAAATATATTTAATGTTTTAAAAAATAAAATTTTTTATAAAAAATAATATATTTTATTATGACTTATGAGTAAAATAATATTCTTAATATATATTTTTTGTTTTTAAAATGTATTAAAATTTTAAAATAGAATTTCAAAATTTTAACTTAATTTTAAGTTTTGAGGATCTATCTTTTATTTAAAACAAAACTCTATCTAATAAGTTATATTATAACAAAAAATATGTAAATATAATTTTAAATTTGATATTTTTATTAGACATATATGAAATATATAAAATTTTGAAATAATTCTGAATTTGGTCTTAAACTTTGAAAAATTTTATTTTGATATCTCATTTGTTACGTGAGATGCTACTCCATGTCATCATATGATATCAACTGATATTTATTGTCAATTTAAATAGTTTTATAGATAAAAGACCAAAATATGACAACTTTAAGAATTAAGAAATCGATTAAAACTTTTTAAAATTTGAGGACCATAATAGAATTTAATTCAAAATTTATGACTACAAATACTACTAATCCTTTAACTTTTTACATTTAATTAATTTAAAAATAAATCAAAAATAATTTTTAAAAATTTTATTTTTTGTATGAGACATATTTATACCAAAATTTTCTTTTCTTTAACTCTTTTTTAACTTTTTTTTAAAACATTTAATAAATATTTTATATTTTAAATTTTTGTGTACGAGTAGCTTGATACCAAGAATATTTCATATTTTTTAATTTTTTAATTTTTGTATATTCAATTAATAACTTTTAGATTTTAATTTTTTGTGATACTCACTTGATATTAAGGTTATACCACATGTTAAGCCATTTGATTTTTTATATATTTTTTATATTTTATATTTAATAAATATTTAAATATTTCAAATATCATATCCATTTGATATTATTATTAAAAATATATTTTTTTGTTATCTTTTTTAATTTAATAATTTTTTAAGAAAAAATATTAACAAGATGTTATGGCATATTTGGATTTATTTATTTATTTTAATTTTTTTAATTAATGATATAAATTCTTTAAGAAAAGTTCATCATTTGTTAATGTACTTAACTCAACTTTTATCATTTTTTCGCTAATGTTGTCTAAGTATATATAAAAGTATATATTTTATAATTATTTTATTTTTATTTTTATATATATTATTCATAAAGTTGTTATTTGATATTTTAATTTAAAAAATTAATATTTTATATTTAATAGAGTGTCTATATAATTTTTTATAATTTATAATTTATATTCTTGCTTTTTTATTTTTTTAATTTATTTTAATTTTAATTTTTTATTAGATATGCTTTATAAGAATAGAAAGTCAATTTAGATATTCATGTATTATCCTTATTTAATCTTTTCTAATTAAATAAAAATTTTTAAAAATTCAAATAATTAAATCTAATAAAACAAAAAAATTTTGACCCGTAGTCACGCCGGAATATTTTACCTCGTACATAGTAAAAAAAGAACAAATTTTACAAAGTTGATCAGACCAAGCTTAAAAAAGTATACAGGATGTCCAGCCAAGAATTGAAAGGATCTTTTCTTTTTCCCCTACAAGTTACAATTCAGGCCTGCTCAAGTAGGACCCACGCTAACGGGCTTAGGCTGATGCTTAACTACCACAATTTCCTAACTACCTGCCAGGCCCTTGAGACCCGCCCGTGAGCATGATTTTTAAGACATTATTTTATTAACAAAAAGATATATTTTAATTAAATTTTAATTTTGAAATATATTTTAAAATATTAAAATATTAATATAAAATATTTTTAATATTATCAAACTTGGTATTTAAAAGTATCAATTAAGGCCGGTTATACTTGATTCATGGACATCTTTGATTTGTTATAGAAGAAATTGACATTTTGTTAACTTTTTTTAAGGCATATTAATACAATTTTTTTACTACATTTTATCATATAGATTGTATTAGAATC